TCTGTCCTGATCTGAACTAACTGCCCATTTGATCTAGCTCCCCTAGACGTTGCCACTGTTATTGAAGGGAGGGTGGGTCGAAGGGGTGAGGGGGGTTGGGGATTATTTTCTTATTATTATTTCTGTAATTGTTTTAATCTTTGCTGTTACCCATTTCGATCCTCAACAGGGAGAGGCAGGATACAAATAAATATTGTTGTTGTTGTTGTTGTTGTTATTAAACAGTTTATATTAAATTATTGCTTTAATGTAATATAAAAGACAATACAAGACAATGGGAATTGATAGCTATGTATTATTGGTAACTGATGGCTTCAGAAAGACAGAAATCCATTCTGTGGTCCATTTTGAAGGTGCTATCAAAGTCCACTAATTCAAAATAAGTCCAGCACCTAAAATTGGGTGGGATGGGGGACAAAAACAAACAACATAGGCCCCCAGATCCCCTTCCAGACCTCACAGCAGTAATAATTGTACTGGCTTCCTCCTTTCCCTTCAGCCCAGTGGCTGGCCATGAAGAGAAGTGGAGTAGAACACAAAGCTTGCTGTCTTTTCCTCTATACAAAAAAGGAGGTTGGTCCAGCTTGCTCTGCTAATCTGTTTTGCTGTGGCTGCTCTGTACTGCCTAGTGCAGCCATGGTACTAAAGAGACTAAAGATAGGTGCTCACACAAAAAATCTTTTTCCAGAATCCTCACGAGATGCAGTGTTCTTGCAAACATTAGGCCACTGATTCCCAGTGGAATCTAGCAGTTGCTTTGCAACTGAGCTATCGTCTCCAATGAATATAAATCTATTCATTTATTCTTCTAACCTTCAGCAAGTGGAAGACTCGGTGGGGTTGGTTTGTCTGGAGGCTGTTTATCTTTTGCTATGCCAGCACTGACAAGTCTTTTTAAAGCTGATATCTTCTTACTAAAAAAGGAGGGGAAAACCCCTGTGTTTGAAGAAACCTGGTTAGATAAAATGTTGGTAAGAGAAGAAAACAAACGGAAGCTCTCAGAGAAGCTTTATGGATGCTTGTGCTGCTGAAAAAGCTGGCAATAGGTACTCTTGTGTTTCAATCTGAATTTTCTTAAGATGTAGGCTGTAGTCTTGATAACCAGTGTAACTACACCAGGGCAGAATTCAAAGATATAGTCATGTTGGTCTGTAGAATCAGTATGTAGAGAGATCATGTAGTACCTTTGAGACTAACTGAACAGAAGAAGTTGGCAGCATGAGCTTGTTGGTGCTTTTCTATGTCCTGCTGATGTGCTGTAACAAAAATAAAACTCTAGGCTCACCAGAGATGCCAAGTTACAGCACTGTCTGAGGTAAACACTCTCAACAGTAGCTAGTAGTAGCAGAGTATGGAAGCACCAGTCCAGTTTAAGTATTGACAATGCACTGACCACTTGAATAAACTCACAGACACTTGTTGGTATCTTCCAAGCCTTGGGAGGTTCTTTATCTTAAGTTGCAATATATACAGATATGTACAAACACTCCTCACAACTCCTTTCAGCATTCACTGTAGTTCAACAATCCACCCATCAACAACTTCCAACTCCAACCCACTCTCTTCATCAACCCACACATGCACTGAGTCCCAGTGCAGTTATATAGTGTGTTGGCTAAGGGTGGTCACCTTGTGCTACTTAGCATGATGCAATTCCTGTTGAAAGCCTTTGCATCATGCCAAGTGCTCTGATTTAGCAATTCTAGCCACTCAAAATATTTTATAAACAGTTTAAAGGAACATTGTTTTAACAGAGCTTTCATAGACTTAAGTCTACAAAATACATCTGAGGAAATAGACTTTAGTCTAAGAAAGCTCATGCTGCTAATTTCTTAATCTCAAAAGCATCTCAAAGGTGCTACAAGATCTCTCTACATCAGGGGTAGGCAACCTTTTTGAGCCAGGGGCTGGGTTGCTGTCCCTCAGACAATTGGGAGGCCAAAGCACCAAAAATAAATAAATAAATAAATAAATAAATAAAAAATAAAAAAATATGCATGCACACTCTCTCAGCCCCAGAAAAGCCATTGCAAAACCCCTGTGGAGATTTTGTCAAGAAAACCCCAAGAACAAGTAATAACAACAATAATTAATATCATCATGGTGGTGGGCGGCGGCAGCAGGGGGGCGGCGTCGGCGTCAGGACCAGCCTGGGGCCGATCCAAAGGCCTCGGGGGGCCGCCTTCGGCCCCCGGGCCGTAGGTTGCCTACCCCTGCTCTACATCAAGGCAGATGGTGATGGCAGCATAGGAACTTATCATATGGGGGATATCCCATGCAGAAACAGGATTTAAAAGGTGGGAGAAACCCTTTCACACACATCGCTGTTAAAGTGTGGTTAACCCAAACGGAAAGTAGTCAAAAGCCATTCCTTTTTACTTTTGGGATTTTCAGAAAGTAAAAAGAAGCGGCTTTTGACTACTTTCCGTTCAGGTTAACCACACTTTAACAGTGACGTCATCTGAAAATCTACCTGCTTTTGTGGGTTTTTTTCTACTTAAACCTCCCTTTCTGCACAGGATTTCCCCCATGTGATAAAGTCCATAGATGGAGAGGTGGCAGCTAAGGTAAAATGGCTACAGGTGTTGTGATGATGGAGGACACTAAAGCAGTTAAAGTTAACTCTGCCAAGAAAGAAAGAAATATTCCCATACCTAAACTGCTTGAGAGTCAACAGAAATGCACAAGTAGATTTTGTGACCATCACCATGCTGCCACAAAACACCACTCTATAAAAGTGCCTTCCTTTGGCATCATGGACCATTTCACTGGAGTAAGACAGCTACAGAATTCTGACCACAAAGAAACTCTGGCCCTCTCCTTTCTCCTCCCACTGAGCCTCACACCACTCACACCATCTCTTCCATGTTTTAAAAGGATGCAGGCAAATGCCATAGCCCATTTGGGAAGATGTTTGGGGAACTGTGGTGTCACACACACCTCAAGGTTGTCACCTGGTGTGGCCCTCATCCCTTGCACCCCTAGTCTCTTTCTTCCCTGCCCTCCCCTTAAAAAACTGTATTTTACTTGTCCTGTGGATTGTTTATATTTAGAACTCTCCATTTTCTGTATTTATATTACACAGGCCTGTGATAAAAAAAAATTCAGTATTGTAGCTGCTTTCAATGTATTTTTGGGAGCTGATTTCACAAAACACAATAAAAAATATATCACACACAGTTCTTTCACAAATTTGATAAGTTTTCAATTCAGTTGTTTCTCAGTTTTGATTAAATGCAGACACTGATGTTCCAGTGTGATTTCTTTCAGTGCTTTAGAATGGATTTTTGTGTTTCATATCAGCAAATTAAAGCGGTCTAAAAGTCTATTAGAGGACTTAAAACCCATTCTTACTCTTTGCAGGATCATTTCGTTCATCCCCATGTTAGAACATAGAAATGTCAAAGTAAGTTGTGAAAAAATTGTATGTGATGGAGAAAATCTGAACTTATTTTTGGATTTAAAATGCCACATTCCTATAACACCAGCATACTACTACTACTATTTAGAAAAAAATATGAACCTCAATTTTATAGGCCTGTGATATTGCTCTTTTCACATCTTATGCCGGGGGTAGGAACAAGATGGAGTCAGAAATGCAAGCCCTGTCTGATTGATTTGTGTTCAGCAGAAGCTTAAAAGAGAGCCAGCATTAAGGTTGAGTGAGAATTTTATTTAATTCTGAATAACTGTGCCTATTAAAAATGCATTGGTGCAGATGGTGAAGAGTCAATATGATGCAGTGGTTTGAGTGCTGGACTAGGACTCTGACAGATCAAGGCTGAATCCTTTGCTCAGGCATGGAAAACCAAAGGGTAGTCTGGGGCAAGTCACACACTCTCAGCTTCAAAGAGAGGCAATAGCAAACCCTTCTTTGAAGAAATCTAAAGGGTTTAGAGGCAGACAACAGATAATGGGAAATTTTGTTTCAATTTGGTTTTGAATAACTTGACCAAGATCTCAAATTTCTTCATATGGAGGAAAAATAGAAGTTTGAAGTCTTTATGCAGGAAAAGCAAAACTGACAGACACCCTCAATCCTACTCTGATTATATACATCTGTATGCATGTGGGGCTTTCTATAAGTAGTAGGAACTGCACTTTTTAAGGCATTTTTGGTACATTGAAGTCTGACATGTTACATTAGCAGGTAATTTGTTATGCAACTCATTGTAGCTGCCCCACCCCATTACCTCATTGCCATTCCAAAGAAACATTAAATAACTAATTGCACTATTGATTGCACTTCCATTACTGGGGGAGGGGGGAAATGATCCATTTAAAAAGTAAGAAAATGACCCAAAATTAGAAATGCAGAAAATGTCCTCAGAATGCTCCAAGAAAGCATTTTAGCCCCCAAATTTATTGAGAAACTGTAAAAAGTAAATATTGCTTATCACAGCAAATTAAAAATAATGTTGCCTATTACATTTTTAGTTATGTTCTAGCTATCCCCATAAATAATATAAATAATTATAAATAATGTATATTAAAGGAAATATATAAAGGGTTATATTCTATGGGTTTTTTTATGTAAGCCACTTGGATTGTTTTTTTAATAAGCGGGATACAAATAAATTTTATTTTTTATTATTATTATTATTATTATTATTATTATTATTAAATGAATCCTGCCATTCATGTAGTTGTGTCTTACCTCTTCTAACTTCCCATTGAAGATGGAAGGTGTGAGCCAGCATGGTCTGTGAGCCAATGTGGTATAGCGGTTTGAGTGTCAGAGTATGACTCTGGAGGCCAGGGTTCGAATCCTGGCTCAGCCATGTAAACCCACTGGATGACCTTGTGGAAGTCACATGCTCTCAGGCTCAGGGGAAAGCAATGACACGCACACACACACACGCGCGCACACACACACACTGCTGCCACCGAACAAATCTTACCGAGAAAACCACATTATAGGTTCACCTTAAGTCAGAAACTACTTGAAGGTACTACCACCATCACCACAACAAAGAAGGGGACAGTTATATGAACTGCTTTTACCCCAGAATCCCTAAAAAAGGCTATATGACGCAGGCACATAGAAGATCATATTGAGAACCCAGCTCAAGATCTCAATAATATCAACATTCTTGCTTTAAGAAGGGGGGGAAAGCAGATAAAGTTTTTAGATCATATGGCTGTGAAAGCAGCTTGAAGGTATGTGACCAATGCTGTGAAGCATCAGACATTTGTTTAGAGGAGGGAATAGCAGATGACTGCTCAGTTTTCATGTAGTGACAAAGCATCACTATCTAACAGAGCTCTCTACCCTTTCTCCTGACTAGCCAGAGTAAAAAAAATTATGCAAAACAAGTAAAGCTATGTAAATTTGCTTAATGTGCAATATTTATAACATCACGGCTTTCAGCTTTTCCTGCCACAAGAGTGAGATGACCTTACAGCTGGTTTATTTATTTATTTACCTGTATTGTCCGGCGTATAAGATGACTGGGTGTATAAGACGACCCCCAACTTTTCCAGTCAAAATATAGAGTTTGGGATATACTCGCCGTATAAGACGACCCCTCTTCCAATGGGAGAAAATGAGAAAGTGTTGGGGGGAAAGGACTGCCAATATCCTAGGTGATGCATTCTGGGGTATGCACAATTTGAAGCCAAGTAAGTGACCCTGGGCATGTCACACACTCTCACCCTCAGAGGATGGTAATGGCAACCCCCATTTGAAGAAACATGCCAGAGAATAGGGAGGATTTGGAAGAATGGCAAATAAAATTAATCGACTTAATGAATATGGACAAGCTGACAATGATGATTAAAGGCAAATCAGATCAAAAATGCCATGAGAAGTGGGAAAAATTAGAGAATCTTTGGAATTGAGTACTGATTGGAATTGGTTTCTTTTTTTTTGTGAAAGAGATATTATTGGAAATGGATTTTGGGCAATTTGGAAAAAAAGAAAAGAGGAAAAGAGAAAAAAAAGATGCAGTTTAGGATGACCTCGATTTTTAAATATACACACAGGTGCTGTCTCCCCTCAGTTTTGTCTTTCAATGCACTCCCTTTATTTTATTTTATGTTATAAAATTTAAGGGGAGTCATTTAGAAATCATACTTAATAAGATTAGATGAGAAGTAGTAAACAGAGTAAACTATCTAAACGAATGCCAAATACCATAAAGAAATATTTTTAATTTTTATTTTTACAATTGTATACTAAGCTTCTACTATTCAGAGATATTAATGTTATAAAAACAAAATTTCATTGTACTACATTAAGGTGATACGCTACCGAGTATACATTTTTTGTTATTTTTTATTGTCTGTTCTATTGTTAATATGCTGTTGGATTAAAAAAAAAAATGAAGAAACATGCCAAGAAAACCCCATGATAAGATGGCCTTAGGGTTG